TGCAGCAGCCAAGCGACAATTTGTGCCTCGCTTCATACTCGGTGCACGCACATAGCGCCTCGATCAATCTTCCATGCAAAGACAGCAGCAACAGCTACGGCTATAGGAGCAGCAGCAAAAGGCCAAGGGGCTGCTGTACGCACCGCACCGTAGCTGCTGTGGCTGGATGTGTGCTGTTTGCCAAGCACAGACTGGCTGTTGCATGGCGGAGGATTGATTACTTTGCGGCAACCCCGGCTTATCGTGGGGCTACAGTGCGCGGAAGGTGGCGGTGATCGAGTGCGGGCTGAGGACCAGAGTCGTGAATGGTGAATCAATCTCACAGCCAGTTGCCTGGCGCCGCCCTCGTTGCAATTAGGCGCGCAGGTTGCTGATCCAAGATTGTGACTGGAGGATCTTAAGCCCGCTATACGCATCAATGTGAGCGCCTCGCCTCCTCGACACTTCCCTCGACCCCTTCTCTATGTCGGGCATGAGCGAGCTTGCACTATGAGTACTGCCCATCTAACCACTGCGACAACTCACTCGCACACCCCTCGATAGGTCTCCCATCCTCCAGGCCGCGAGCATCGGATAGCGGGTCTTCTCTCCACCATCCTAGACAGCCCCTCCCACTTGAACAGATCGCAAGGCGGCGAATCAACGCGATGCCGTCAATCAACACAATCAGGCACTTGGTGTCCGGCGCAAAGGCTCGTCATGTCGATGACGAGCTGGGCGTCGACTTGGACCTCGTCTATCTTACCGACAGATTGATCCTGATGGCTTGGCCCGGATCAGGCTTGGAAGCGCTGTACAGAAACCCTAGGAATGACGTGCGACGCTTCTTGGAGAAGCGTCATGGACCTCGCTACCGTGTTTACAACCTCGTGCCGCGGTACGAAAATAGCTGTGAGTGGCGAGTGTCGCAAGGCGAACGACAGCATCGATCTGCATGCTGAGACCCACACTGTCCCGTCAGACGAATCGTGGGAATTCTATGAGCAGGTCTCTAGATTCCCCTTTCCCGATCATCATCCTCCCCCACTCGGCATGATACCTTTATTCGTTGCCGATGTGACAGCGTGGCTGGGAGAGGACGAGCGCAATGTTGCCGTGATACATTGCAAAGGTGAGCGACCCCCAATCGAGGATTCGTCACGCCGGAAGCGCGCTGACGCAAGCAATCGCCGCCGCTTGTAGCTGGTAAGGGAAGAACCGGAACGATGAGTGTGGCATACCTGCTATCTCTGCCGATCTTGCCGACTCTTGCAGCGAGCGAGAAGGGCGTCGGCACGTCCCAGGCGGCTGCGGTGCCCCAGGGCATATCAGTCGATGGCGGCAGCAAGTCTTGCATGCGAGACCTCCCACCTTCTTCCACCGCATCACGCAGCGACAATGAGGAACTCTCGCGAGAGAATAGCGGACAGAACAGCAGTCACGGCAGCAGCAGTACACACCTTACCGTGCCCTTCTCTGGCTCGGCGCGAGGCAGCAAAGAGCAGCAGACATCGTCCAGCTCCGCGTCCGAGGTAGCCTCGCCCATCGTATCGCCAGTAGAGGATACGGCGGAACGTTTGCGCACAGTCTTGGAATTACACACTGCCAGGCGATTGAAGCCCAAATCCCCCGCTGCATCACCCAAAGGTAAACAGAAGGCGAAAGGGCGATCTCTTGAAAACTCTTCTAGTCTGGCTCCTCCAATGCATGAGCAGTCGCTCATACCACCCAAAGACCCGACCTCGCTGGAGAAGCTCGACAGGCCTGCTTTCTCAGGCACCCGATCGCGCTCTACTTCGCGAGTCGGCGGTTTGCTGCGCCGAGCAAGCTTTAACTTCAAGCGCTCCACTGCCTCCAAAGACTCGCCGCCGTTGCCTGATGGTGAGCTCCCTGACCTGTCATCGGAGAGCAGTACAAGGCAAGCGTCCGCGGCTGCGTCACAGTTGTTCTCCCCTTCTGCCTTGCCAGGTGCTTGTGCACCGGAGCAGGCTGCTCCGTCGTTGCACGGCACCGAGACCGCATCGTCCAACACGCCTATCAAAGTCGTGCGCTCGAGAAAAGATCTACGTGCCCTTGGCGTATCTCCGAGCGGCCGATCTACGGATTGCCTAGCTGGGGGTACCCAGTTCACGAATCCCTTTGCCCTGACGAGTGCCGATAGCCTCTGCAGTCCTAGCGACGGACAAGGCGCTCTTCACATGTCCCTACCTCCAACTCCGCCCCGCTCAGCAAAGGGCAGCAAACCCTCCATCACCTCGTCGTCACATGTAGTGCCGCCAATCACGCTTGCAGAAGCGACACCACAACCGAGCAGCGCGGTGGAGCTGCTTGCTTCACCCAGTCCGGCTACAGAGTCTCGCTTCGCCGCCCTTCAGGGAAGCATTTCTGACAGCAATCTGTCTACCGACACGGCTCGACCCCAGCATGACAGCGAGAGCAGTATCAGACGCTCCTCTGCCGCTGACCGACCGCACATTGTCATTCCGCCTCGCACATCATCTACCTTTGCCAGATCCGACCTGGATCTTGCGCAGCTTCAAAGTGGGATGACATCGAGCGCGAGTGTAGGCAATCTGGTGTCGATTGACAGCGACGATGATGATTCCGAAGCGAGCGATGAAGCGCCACGCCTCGCCATATCAATTCCGAGTCAGCGTCGCTTTCTTGGGTACTGGGCAAGGATGCTAGCAAATTCAGATCCTCGTTCATCGATCTACAGCTACACCATGCGTCCTACGAAGCGGTTGGTACGCATCACGCGAATCTGGATTGAACGAGCCACGCCATCGGATCCGAAAGCGTCCAGGCCACTGATCGACGCCGACAATTTGAGCTTGCAAATCATGCGATACGATCCTCAGCTCGTCGATCGGCTGACGGACTGGGAGCGCAAGGCAAGGCGCCGAAACAAAGCTTTGGGACACTCCGATCCAGGTGCATGCGCACCTGAGCTGGGATGGGAGGAGAGCGAAGACGAGAGTGAAGCACCACTCTCAGCCGAGGCCAAAGCTGCCAAGAAGCAGCGTCAAGAAGATCGGTGGCGGAAGGTCGAGGCTCGCAACAAGGCTCGCTCTGCACTGGCGCAGCACGGCAACATTGCAGGAGTAGGGGAGTGGGGCATCAATGTTGTCGCTGAAGCTACCCGAGCCCGAGACTTTTTGTGGAACGATGAGGGAGCACAGCACCTGAGTGCGGCTGCAAAGGAGGCTTCAGAACCTCCATCAAGGATGCGCCGACCCACACGGCAGATCCAAACATGCGCCATGCTGAGCCAAAGTCTGCGCGAGAGGGTTGCTGCAGGTCGCGTTCGGTACGACTTTGATCCTGCTGTGCGATCCATAGATCGCAC